ATCATCAAATGCAGACAACGCTTGCATATCTATTTTTTCTTTAGGAAACAGTGTCAGTTTTAACGAATTAATTTTTTCCGTAAGCAACACATATTCATCACGAATGTTCTCAATTTTAAGAAATCTAGATTTAAATTGGCTAACTTTAGATGAACTGGAGTCTTCCCGTATTTGAATGGATAAATCGAAAAGAGTTTGAATAGAACGAAAAACATACTCTCGCTGTGACGTATAAAGTTTAAGTTTCATTTCTTCTTGCGACATGATTATAAAATAACAGCGAAATATTAAATATAAATGTTAAGTATAATTATTAACGACAGATATTTAAATCAATATTTAAGTTTGTCAAAACTAAATTAACACTCTAACACTGAATTTTAATGTTAACGCTTTTTAACTGTTTGAATTCGATAACAATTAACAAACGACCTAACATTCAAAAATATACAAGTATTTATACTTAAGTGCTATTATTCCAAGACCAAATTAATCATTTCCATAAACTGATTTAGTAATTCTTTCCAACAATAATTATAAAATACCCTCAAATTATAATAATTTTCAAAGCGTAAGACTATCAATGCACATTCGAAATAAACTTAGCAATTATAACGCAATCAAATAAGATAAGTCTGCAAAGTCTGAGCAATACGAAACACTTCACGAGCATTCAAGTCTAGCAGGATTATAATTGAAATAAATTAGTTACTTTCAATTATAAGAAAAGTAGATTAAATAACAAAGTTTTCCTTAGAAATTGAACTTGATATTATATTAATAAGGAGCAGACTGTATAAAAATAGAAATCCATAGGTACCCGGATCGTATGGACCAGAAATTATGTTACGGCTTGAATGTTTCACAATGTGTTTCGTAGGGTGGTTTTGGGAACCAGAGAACAACCAGACCAAGGGCTGGCTAACCCGATGATCCCAATCAGGAAGTAAATGAAAATAGCTTTAGAACTGGGTAGATAAGGCAAGGATACTCACAAGACTGGAGCACTCCTCGTGGTTATGGTGAAGTCTAAATATTTAGGCTGAAGCTCTCGTGTATACACAGACACCACACTGCACTTCGAATGTATATGGACACGAGCAATTGCACGATAGTCTTACAACTTATTTATTGAGTATTTTTAAACGAGCAGTAACGAACACGTTTTATGCGTGCGCGGCCATCTTGCTTCTTCTTTTTCTTGACGATAGGTGGCGCACCATTTTGAGTAGTGCGTATATGGGGGAGGCGGGAGGATAGGAAATACTTAGGAAAAGGATATTATATCGGGACTGTTCCGAAGCCACAACAGTAACAGAACTGAAGTGGAGAAGAAAAGGAGGATATAGAATAACCGCTACCGTTACAGCCTATTAAAGTCCACTACTAAACATAGGCCTCACCTATAGATTGACTGATTGGCACCATATTTGCCATAGTTGCCACGCTTGGCAAGCGTGTTGGCAAAAATGCTGCTGCTCATCTCCTGATTTGGTTCTCTCTGTCGCCTCTTACGACACCTACGAGATGATGTGAGGTAATGCATATTCTTTCACCACCACTACACGGTTGCAATTACATACAACTACACTAATATAATCTTTCATGGTAGAGTGACACTGCAGTGTATCTGATTACAGTATAAGCCGACCTTTATCGAGGAGGGGCCACGCTGAATTAGCAGCATACTGCTTCTGTATTACGTATGGTGAGGGATAAGAAAAGGCGAGCATTTCTAATGACAACGGTGAAAGTTGTCAATTTGGTTGGAATATTTGTCACAGCAGTCACTTCTTTTAAGTGACTGCTGTGACACGGGGGACTTTGTCCTCTTTAGTCAATCTTATATTTAAATATTTGAGCCATTATTTTTGTGGATTGAAAACATTTAACATAATCACATATTATTATTTTTATAGGATAAGAGTGACAAGCGAGCACACAGTCCACCCGATGGTAAGTGGTTGTTGTGCCCCATAGACATCTTCATCTATCCTCGATTACGAATAAAAATACAGATGCGTTGTTTCCCGATAGGACAAAGATACCTTGATTCTAGTAAAAAGAAGCAAGTTTTAAGTTTGATTTTTGGGATTCCTCTGTCATATGAGGAAACTCTTATGAGTTCGTTGTTAAGAAAAATATTAGTATCGGTAAGTTAAGAAAATATTTTTTTCTTAATTATTTAATAATATTTCAAAGCGTTAAGGCATCGCGGCGGTTGTATCTATATCCTTAAACCCTACCAGAAATGAGAGCCGGCCTGTGACCAGTTTATGATTATTAATGTGAGTCTTGAATGTAAACAGGGAATGGATTTTTTTCCAACTTTCTTTGAATTTTAATTAAACTGGTGAAGTGCTAGTTGGTTCACTCTCCATTATGGTTTCGTACATATTATGACCAATTAACTTTATTTTTCTAAAAAAAATTATGTTCGTTTATTTTGTTCACAGTCTACGAGCTGCTTTGTGAATCGGTGTTTTTAGTATTTGTTGTTGAAATCAAAATGAAATCTTTATATAAAGAAATTTCATATTCCTAACTAGTTTCCTTTTTGCGATACATCCCGTAATAAAGACGGTCTAAATTGACAATTTTTATTTCTTTACTTTTGAAGATAAACAGAACAGAATATACATTTATTTATACTCAATAATCTCTAGGAACTATTTCTTACTTAAAACACTAGCTTATAATAAATAAAATAACTTGGCTACAAGTTCCAAGTGGTAGAGACGCCGTAGATGGTATAAGCATTGTCTTAGGTTTTTTTTTTAAAGAATTAGGGTGACAAACGAGCACACAGTCCACCTGATGGTAAGTGGTTGCTGTGGCCCATAGACATCTGCATCTATCCTCGATTATGAATCAAAATGCAAATGCGTTGTCACCCGTGAGGACTAAGACGGAATGCCTCTTTTCCAGTAAAAAGGGTCTCCGGTTCTCTACACTCACCATACGAAACATAGCAGCATTTAGCTGCTATTTTACACTGGTATTCTGTGAGAGCGTGGTCATTCCCCGGTCGAGCCGACCCATTCGTGCTACAACTATACTATTAATATAGCTGCAGCATGGCTCTACCACGTATAAAACGTTAGACAACAGAGTTAGCAATGACACTCAGGTACGGTCAACAAGTTTTTATTGCTCCTCTTTTTTATGTTTCCAACAATTTGAAAAAAAAAGTTTTTATAGCTCCTTTTTTATGTTTCCATACAAATTTAAGAAAAATGTAATTGAACTCATCTATCTATTGTTATGGTATGAAATAAATGTATGTTTAATAGTAAAAATAGTGGTGAAGTGATTGCGATTTCATGGCTAGTTTACGCGTATTTACAACACAAGCTTACTCTTTCTTATGATTTCTTTGTTTTAATTAAAACTTTTATCTTTTCACGTGAACAAAGGCTGTGAACTTTCTGTGATATTATTGCAACAAGATGTAAACTACACCCATTGAAACTCGTGAGAATAGGATTAATATTATAAATAATTATGTAATAAACAGAGTCGTTTTATCTTTTCAAAAGGCTTTCATTAGCTTGACCTGTATGTGTGTGAACTGAAGGTGAGCGGCAGCATCATCCTAATAATTACTCAAAATATTAAAATATTGCGGTTGTCAACCCGCCTTCCAAACATGGCAACTATGGAAAATAGCAAAGGTGGTAAACTTTGTTCAGCAGGGGATTTTTGATAGGTTGTGATAAAAATGATTTAATACATTGTACTTATGTATAAATGTAATAGAATTTTGTACTTCAGTTTTAACCCACTTCCGAAAGTCATGATGAAGAATCGATGACAATATGTATTGCTTTAATCAATTGTTCATCAATTCAATCGACAAATGATTGAATTGATGGCATCCACGATTTTTTTGCTACCAGGGCGGCACCCCTTTGGGATGAGTTGAAATATTTCATAGATTTCATAGCGGGGAAGTAATTTTTTAGAAAAATGTAAGGGGTAATGTTTATTTATGGTAATATTATTTATATTTTATACTTGTCAAACTTCGCACGGGTGATTTTTGGATCTCAACAACAGTGCCATCTATCGGGTCCCATTGTGAATCTATACCATGTTGGGACCCACTCAAATACATACAATTTTTATTAAAAATCAGTGCAGCCACTTTGGAGTTTTTGTGAGACTAACGGACAGCAATTGATTTTTATTTATAGAGATTAATTAGATTAGAAATAAATACACCAAGCTATGCATATAAATAAAATTTAAAAATTTAAGAATGAGTTATAAAAGTGCAATAAATTAGGGCAAACCACTGAGGCGTAGTTTTGTGTATTAATCTATAGAAAATGATATACTTTTATTTAAAAATAACTTCTCTATGGAATGAAATTGTGTGAGAAAACACTTCTTCTCAGTCCCAACTAGCGACATCTAGTGAGGGAAAGATTGGCCTTAATTTTTGTCTTAGTTTTCTTTTTAACTTTAATTACTTTTATTTCTCTTAGAACCAAATTTATTTATATTATTATGTTGAGCGATATATTTTACATAAACAAATCTATTTTAAAAATGCTCAGACTTATAATTTTTTCGTCATTATCATCACGACAGCCCTTAAAAAGTCCACTGTTAAACATAGTCTTCCCCAAAAATACGCACCGTAAAGCAAGATATTAAGCCACATGTGTTCATCGACTTCCAGCATCTCTAATCAAGCTGTCTCTACATCTAGTCCATTTTTATACGCACTCAAATTTGCCCTCAATTAAGAATCGTAATAATGTATATGAATCTTTACCCTTGAGGACTAAGTTCTGCAATTAGAGTTCCTTAACTAATGTAAAGACATGCTGGGGCTCTATTAATATTGGATCTTGGTCTAATACTTCCAAGGTAAACCGTGTTGTAAATGGTGTACTTGGTTTGAAGTAAAATACAGAAATAAATTTAAAAAAATATATTTTCACTGTACAGTTATTAACTATTATCTTAAAATAATCACGTAACAAAACTCATCACCAGCCACTGGAGTAGCCACCAGAGTAACCACCGTGCCCGCTTCCGAAACCACCGCTGTAACCACCGCTGTATCCACCGCTGTATCCACCGTTGTATCCGCTGCTGTATCCAGAGGAGAAGCTCGGAGCGGCTACTACTTTGTTAACGGACACAACTTGGGGCACGGAGACGACCTTGTTGACGCTGACTACTTGTGGGACGCTCACAACCTTGGGCACGTTCACAACTTTGTTGACGGTGACGAGCTGAGCTGATGGCGCGGAGTAGCCACCTAAGCCAGAGTAGCCACTGTATCCGGAGTAGCCGCCTAAGCCAGAGTAGCCACTGTAGCCAGAGTAGCCACCAATGCCTCCAGAGTGTAGCCCACTGAGGAAGCCGCGCTTCTCACGTACATTTTCTGCAGCGGCGCACGCCACCAGGCAGAGTACTGCGATCTATTTGGAAAATAGTTGAACGTTAACTGGCTATCTAATACATTGATGTTATAATAAAATCATTTTTTATAGAATAAGGGTGACAAACGAGCACACAGTCCACCTGATGGCAAGTGGATGCTGTGGCCCACAAATATCTACCACGGATATTTATCCTCGATTATGAATCAAAATGAAGATGCGCTGTCACCCCTGAAAACTAAGATAGAATATCTCGTTTTCAGTAAAGTAGGTCTCCGGTTTTCTAAACTCACTATACGAAACACAGTAGCATTAAGCTCTTATTTTACACTGGTATTCTGTGAGAGCGTAGTCCTTCCCCGGTCGAGCCGATCCGTTCGTGCTACAACCATAATATAGTTGCAGCGTGGCTTTACTAAGTATAATCAATAATTTTAAAATGAAATAAATAGTTAATTTGCTAAAATCTGTATGCAATAAAAGTTTAAATTATGTTATGAAATGTTAAGACGTTTGCGTCTTTCATTTTATTTTATTAAAAAAAATTAATATCCCCATAGTCTGTAGAAAGTCTAGCGCTGGAAATAGGTCCACCCCAACTATAGTTGTAGGTTGAAATAACAAAATGAATTGAAAGTTTAACGGCTCCATGGTAGGTTTGAACCCTACACGGAGTAAGTATTTGTATGGCCTACAAATAATTGTTCCGGGTCTGGATGTTTGTCCGTGTGAAATTAATGTAAGTAAACTGCCCCCATGATACAAAGAGAACATTCTAGTAAAGAGTTAACGTTTTTTGAATAAAAAAATTACATTTACATGTACAATTAATAAAAATTAATATTGCCCCATATTTTTTCATTAAGGATGTAAATTATGTTGATACTTACGAAGGATTTCATGTTTCTGTAATGTGGTTTGTTTAACTGGTGAGTGGATGTCGTGTTATGTACGGACAGTTTTCTGCGCCGATATATATATCACCGCTGCTCGATATTTCGCAATGCGTCCTCGTTGACCGAGTGACGAGTAAAATTTTGCACAGCATACGTCTTAGGAATATTCGTTCTTGCGACGGTGCTTGTCCTTCAATTTAAGGAAAGAGTTGGTTGCGTTCCGCAATTTTTATATTTGATTCTTGTTTATTATATTTGTTTTTGAATGGTAATAAAACTTTTTTTTCTTCTATAGACCAAGATTAACAAACGAGCACAGATTCCACCTGATAGTAAGTGGATGCTGTGGCCCATAGAAATCTATAACTATCCTCAATTACGAATCGTATCCAGAAAATTTCTCCGGTTCTTTACACTCACTATACGAAATACAGCACCATAAAGGTGTTATTTTACGCTAGTATTCTGTGACAGTGTAATCTTTCCCCGTTCAAGGTAACCCATCAGCGCTAATACTATAATATAGCTACGGCATGGATCTGCCACGTAAATGTATAAATAGAGGTGGAGAAAAAGAACACATCAATCAATTTCTTCTCAAGAATGTCGTAAAAGGCGACAATGTGATATGTCAGAATTTTTTTACATTTGCCTATATCTATCGGATATCTATCTGGCGTAAGCGACAGTTATAGTGCAATCTGGCAGTATGATTATCGTTTACGCCAGACGCAAAATACGCAGGAAACGTTGATATTTACTGGCACGTAAAGTTTACGCCTTTTCAACAAAGCCCCGGAAAACACAACAAAGTCCCAGATAGTCTAAAAATAATTAAAATGTTTTATTAAGCAACAATTATTAAATAGGATTTCTATAATATTATATAGAATATAAAATTGATAACGCTTGGTTATCAATTTTATATTCTATAAAACACACATTGTAATTAAATAAACCAAAGGTTATTTTGCCTTTGAATTAGAATTTATGAAAATATAATTTATCTGTAAACAACTCATCATGTTTTGCTTTTGTAGATAAGTGATAATACATAAGTGTTAGAACGGAATCGCAGATATCTTTTTTGTACAGCTTCAATTCTGTTAATGTAAATTTTATAGTTGGGATTCCAAACTTGCGAGGCGTACTCTAGATGACTTCAGACAAATGTACAATAAGGTACTTTTAACATTTTTATGCTCTTGGACACTGGTGATATTCTCAAAACAAATCGGAGAGCACGAGACGCATATCAAAAAGTAGTTTTGAGTCGAACTCAATCCATATTCAAGAGATGGTAATTGTATATGACAGGGCTAGGTTTACGAGTACAAGTATAAGAGTAAACAAAACACTTATATCTAATTATTGCTTAGCACAGTAAGCTTGAAAAAAATTGAGATCTTTTTGAATGTTTTGAAATCCACAATAATCTTATAAGGGACTTAGAATCTTCATGTCATCTGCATACATAAGAATTTTACAGTGGTAAAAACAAGTGAAAATATTGTTTATAAAAATCGAAAACAGAAACGGTCCGAACAAAGGTCCCTGCGGAATGCCAGAAGGTATAAACACGGTTTTCCAGGAATAGCCATTGAGAACAACGGTTTGGCATTTGTTTTTAACGTAAGAAGAAAACCCCTCTGTAAAGAGTACCTCTTCTTTCTACAGCCATAAGTTTGTACAGTAGTATGACATGATCTATTCTATCAAATGTCTTGCTGTAGTCTGTGTATATGACATTAACTTGCAAACGTTGCGACAAAAATCCGATAGACAATAAGATTCAATGCGGTGAAACGCCCCTTTAAGAAACCATGTTGGTCTTCACTAAATATATGTATGTTTTAATGAGGCATATAATTATCTTATAATGCGAATAACATTTGGCTTACCAAGCGCCTTTGCTTATGGTAGATAAGCCATACCAAACAGTAACTGTTACGGCTTGAATGTTTCACAATGTGTTTCGTAGGGTGGTTTTGGGAACCAGAGAACAACCAGACCAAGGGCTGGCTAACCCGATGATCCCAATCAGGAAGTAAATGAAAATAGCTTTAGAACTGGGTAGATAAGGCAAGGATACTCACAAGACTGGAGCACTCTTCGTGGTTATGGTGAAGTCTAAATATTTAGGCTGAAGTTCTCGTGTATACACAGACACCACACTGCACTTCGAATGTATATGGACACGAGCAATTGCACGATAGTCTTACAACTTATTTATTGAGTATTTATAAACGAGCAGTAACGAACATGTTTTATGCGTGCGCGGCCATCTTGCTTCTTCTTTTTCTTGACGATTAGGTGGCGCACCATTTTGAGTAGTGCGTATATGGGGGAGGCGGGAGGATAGGAAATACTTAGGAAAAGGATATTATATCGGGACTGTTCCGAAGCCACAACATTCCCTCCCACCTGAAATCACCTAGGGATTTCACAAGACAACCATCGACCCGGCAGCTCTCCAGGTCCCCAGTTGCTCATAGAATATAAATTAATATAAACCAAATAGATATTTGAGCCAAGTTGTGCATTGATAACCTTAACTAAACTACAAAACAAAATCAAACTTAGTTAATTTAATTGTAAAATTAGAACTTATAATCTAGCTTAATAAAACAATAAAAATAAGATTCAATCAAGAGGAAGAGGGCAGACTTTGACTACTGGTCTTGTAAGTAAGCCTCTTTTAGTCTTTAAGGTCACAACCCGGATAATATTGTCCTTTCCGGGGTGGATTTGGACTACTCGACCTAGGCGCCATTCGTTAGGTGGTAGATTAGGTTCAATGATTGAAACGAGTTGACCAATATTAGGATGTTTGTGATCATCCTTAAACCACTTAACTTTTTGTTGGAGCGTATGTAAATAATCATTTTGCCAAATACGCCAAAAACTTTGAGAGAGCTTTTGAAGTGACTGCCAGCGTGTTCTAGGATTCATATCTTCAACAGACGGTTCTGGTAGAGCGACTAAAGGACGTCCTACAATAAAATGACCGGCCGTGAGAACATCAACTTCGCCAGGATCAGACGATAACTGACAAATCGGTCTTGAGTTCAGCATCGCTTCAACTTTAGTTAAAACTGTAGTTAGTTCTTCAAACGTCAGGAGTTGTGAGCCTATGACCCTCTTGAGATAATATTTAGTACATTTTATATCACTTTCAAAAATGCCTCCAAAGTGAGGTCAGGCGAGACGTTAATTGATCAGAAATATCCTGTTTTTTATCTATCAATAATTTAACCATTTCCTCAAGATATCTTTTAGCGCCTACAAAGTTAGTGCCACAATCTGTCACAATATGTTGACATATTCCACGTCGAGACACGAATCTGTCTAGGGCGGCTAGAAACGCTTCTGTAGACAGTTCAGATACGAGTTCTAAATGAACTGCTTTTACAGATAAGCAGATGAACAAGCATATGTAAGCCTTACTGACCCGTGCTGGTCGTCTGTTTTCTTTTATAAGAAAAGGACCGCCAAAGTCGATCCCTATCTGTTGAAAACAGTAACCTTGTTGAGATCTACAAGGTGGCAGGTTGCCCATAGATGGCTGATAGGGTACAGGTTTAACCCGAAAGCAAGTCACACACTTTGTTAAAATAGAACGAATAAGATTTCTAATTCCTAAAATCCAGAACTTGCGAACAATTAGAGATTGTAACGTGCGAGGTCCACAGTGCAAATACCGTTTATGATAATAGCTAATAATTAATTGAGATAAAATAGATTGTTTCGGTAACAAATATGGATGTTTTGTGTGCTCAGGTAAATTGAAATTAGTAAGTCGTCCACCCACTCGCATGAGTCCTAGGTTATCAATAAACGGAGACAACTTTTGTAAGTATTTAGGTAGAGGCTTATGCGATTTTAATTTAGACATCTCTTGATTGAAGCTGCCCCATTGGACATATTTAATAAGGCTAAGCAGAGAGCACTTTACCTCATTCGTAGTAATGCGACCTTTCTCGCGTTGGCTTTGTTTTTTGCGCGAATTAGAAATGAAGCGAAAGACCCATGCCAATACTCGTTGTAGTCGCGATAAGGATGAATACCGATTTAATAACACTTTCATAATGTCTTTATCAGATTCCCGAGATAGAGCAATCAGAGTGCGTGTTCTCAACTCTGGCAACACATCTTGGGCCTCACACCGACTTTGAGCTGGCCAGTGATCTGGACCACTAAGCATCCAATCTGGTCCTGACCAAGATCGCGTACAATTGACCAATTCTGCACACGAGAGACCTCGGCTAGGAAAGTCAGCAGGATTGTCCTGAGTCGAGACATGCCTCCAGTTAGAAGGTTCAAATGCGTCAGTTATTTTAACTACTCGATGCGCAACAAAATGTTTCAGTTTGTAAGGCTCGGTATTGATCCAAGCTAATACAGTTGAGCTATCAGTGTAGGCAACAATATGAGATATATTTATTTTCGAAATAAGTAAAGTTTGCATGTGTTTGAGAGTACGTGATAACAAGAGCGCACCGCACAACTCCAAACGATTAACTGTTAGAGGCTTAATCGGAGCCACTTTAGATTTAGAAATCAAAAGAGAAACTTGTCGAAGATAGACACAGCACCCATATGCTTTGGTTGATCCATCGCAAAACCCAATCAGCTGGTGTGTAGCTGCTAAGTCAATCACGGGTTTACGAGGGATTTTTATCGATGGTATATTATAGACAAGTCAGACACAAATGAAACCCAATCGTCACACAGATTGGCGGGAATGATTTCATCCCAAGACAATCCAATACGCCATAAGTTTTGAAGAAGTAGTTTAGCTAAAAGAATAAAAGGTGAAAGCCAACCCAACGGATCATAAATACTAGCTACGTGGGACAGGATTGAACGTTTCGTAAACTCCACTTTCACAGGAGAGACGGAGTAAGTGAAATAGTCTTCCTCAGGATCCCATTGAACTCCCAAAACTTTAAGCTTTATTGAACTATCATCAGAGAATGTCTTCGGACACTGACAATGTTCCATGGGTAACGATCGAAGAAATAAAGGGCTGTTACTGCTCCACTTACGCAAATCTAGCTGAGCACAATTAAGGAGATTGATTAAATCTTCTTTAAGCTGAGAGGCTGCTTCGACTGAGGAAGCACCTGTAGTAATATCGTCTATATAAGTATGATGCCGAAGAGCTTCAGCAGCATGAGGAAACTGATCACCGTGATCTGTAGCTAATTGATGTAATGTTCGTATCGCTAAGTACGGCGAGCTTTTGACTCCGTATGTGACCGTACGAAGTTCAAATTTTTGAACAGGCAAGGAAGGGGATTCACGCCATAGTACGTGTTGCCACACTCGATCCTCAGGCCTTATCAAGATTTGCCTGTACATCTTAGATATGTCACATGTAAACACTACATTATGGACCCGAAATCCAGTAATAATGTCAACCAAATCAGCCTGTAACTTCGGTCCAGTGTAAACAATATCATTTAAAGATAGTCCATTTGTCGTCTTGTGACTCGCATTGAATACGACGCGAAGTTTGGTCGTTATGCTTTCTGAACGAATCACACAATGGTGAGGAATGAAATATCTACCAGGTGTAGTATCCTTTCCCACTGGTTGCATATGGTTAAGCTGCTCATAATCACGCATAAAATCGTTATAGAGTGATTTAAGTTCTGGTTGTCGGCAAAGTTTTTTCTCAAGATTTATAAACTGCGACAAAGAACTATTATATGAGCCTCCCATATAGACAGACGACTGCTTCAATAAGATAGGAACTACATATCGACCGTCCGATTCCCTATAAGTTTGAGTGGAATACAGGCGTTCGACCTCCTCATCTTCTGGAGCAGGTATATGTTGATGAGGCGGTTCCTCGACTTCCCAAAATCGTTTCATCATCGTCTCCAATGAATTGGTTAAAGTAATCAACGAAGTGCCAACCGATTTTACCGGACTCTCCACGTTGGTGGGTCCTGAGAGCACCCAACCAAAGACGCTATGTAAAGCAGCAGGATAGCCGGGCTCTGGGTGAATGACACGGCCGTCATAGATGTGATGAAATACTTCCGCACCTAGCAATAAATCAACATCAGACGGTTTGTCAAAGTCACGGTCCGCTAATACTAAGTGTTTGTAACAGTCTCGAACCGCTAGAGGAATATCAGTGGTTGGCATTTTAGAAGTAATGCTATCGATGACTATAGGATTAATATCAAATTGCGGGCCATTCGAATCACACGGGCGTATAGAGCATTGAGTCACTCCCTTGACTTGACACACAGACTGTTGTCCAACTCCAGCCACAGTTGTGGTACATCGACGCAATTGAAAACCAAGTCTCTTTGCGCATTTCATAGTGATGAAGCAGTCCTGAGCGCCGCAATCGATCAGCGCTCTAACTTGATGGAACGTGCCACTAGAGTCCTGCACACGCACCATACACGTCCCGAGCAGCACCACGCATGGGCCACGAGCCTCTCCCACGAACGCACTCGTGTTAGTGTGGGCGCTACTCGAACCGGTGGTCACCGCGGTCGGTGATCGAACTTGGTTGTCGATGTGTACCAGAGTGTGATGATTACCACTACATATAAAACATCTCATTTTTGAGACGCATTTATCAAGAGAATGTTTTCGTAAACAGTTAATGCATAAATTATTTTGTTTGACAATATTTATTCTAGCACTGGTGTCTAAAGATTGAAACGTGGGGCACTTATAGATACTGTGCGCTGCGCCACAATAATAGCACGCTAGTGAAGCCAGCTGCTTCGAACTAGTAGGCTTAGACTGAGTAGTGAGCACGGAACATTTCAGGTTCGATGCCCGCGGTGAAACATTCTTGATCTGTTTACCGCCTAAAACTTGAGAAGATCGTGCCCTAATGTCAACATTAGCATTTATTTCTAAAACTTTTACATAGTTTTGAAGAAACTGCATAAGACTTTGAAAAGAAGGAATTTCCGATTTATTTTCAGATTCGAAGCGGTGGCGCGTATCTGAGTCCAGTGCGCGAAACGCTGCGTTAAATAAAATAAAATCGCCTAAGTCATCTAGCTCTAAGGCCTTAAGGGCATTGACTGACTCACAAAGAATATTAGTATATGTTTGTAAATCATTGAAATTAGGAGTTTTTAAATAAGGATGGCTATTTATTTGATCTAAATACGCCACGGCTAAAGTGCGCTTATTTTGATAACGCTTAATAAGTTCATTGAATACAAGCTCATAATTATCGGAAGTTAATTTTACCTTCTTTGCGATCCCTAAGGTGGATCCCGATAAACAAGAAATGAGATAGTGAAATTTAGTAATATTCGCGATTGATTTATTATTATGAATTAAGGTTACGAAAGTGTCGTAAAATGTTTGCCAATTCTCAATTTTTCCGTCGAACTTCAGAAGCTCAATTTGTGGCAGTCTAGCTTGTATCTTTTCCGCGTCGGCCGTAAAGGTGTAGTTAACGTCAGCGGACGTTGGGCTGCTGCTTCGTTTGCGCTCCGGTAGGGACATCTCTGCGGCAAAACTTAGGACTTCATAGTACATATCATCAAATGCAGACAACGCTTGCATATCTATTTTTTCTTTAGGAAACAGTGTCAGTTTTAACGAATTAATTTTTTCCGTAAGCAACACATATTCATCACGAATGTTCTCAATTTTAAGAAATCTAGATTTAAATTGGCTAACTTTAGATGAACTGGAGTCTTCCCGTATTTGAATGGATAAATCGAAAAGAGTTTGAATAGAACGAAAAACATACTCTCGCTGTGACGTATAAAGTTTAAGTTTCATTTCTTCTTGCGACATGATTATAAAATAACAGCGAAATATTAAATATAAATGTTAAGTATAATTATTAACGACAGATATTTAAATCAATATTTAAGTTTGTCAAAACTAAATTAACACTCTAACACTGAATTTTAATGTTAACGCTTTTTAACTGTTTGAATTCGATAACAATTAACAAACGACCTAACATTCAAAAATATACAAGTATTTATACTTAAGTGCTATTATTCCAAGACCAAATTAATCATTTCCATAAACTGATTTAGTAATTCTTTCCAACAATAATTATAAAATACCCTCAAATTATAATAATTTTCAAAGCGTAAGACTATCAATGCACATTCGAAATAAACTTAGCAATTATAACGCAATCAAATAAGATAAGTCTGCAAAGTCTGAGCAATACGAAACACTTCACGAGCATTCAAGTCTAGCAGGATTATAATTGAAATAAATTAGTTACTTTCAATTATAAGAAAAGTAGATTAAATAACAAAGTTTTCCTTAGAAATTGAACTTGATATTATATTAATAAGGAGCAGACTGTATAAAAATAGAAATCCATAGGTACCCGGATCGTATGGACCAGAAATTATGTTACGGCTTGAATGTTTCACAATGTGTTTCGTAGGGTGGTTTTGGGAACCAGAGAACAACCAGACCAAGGGCTGGCTAACCCGATGATCCCAATCAGGAAGTAAATGAAAATAGCTTTAGAACTGGGTAGATAAGGCAAGGATACTCACAAGACTGGAGCACTCCTCGTGGTTATGGTGAAGTCTAAATATTTAGGCTGAAGCTCTCGTGTATACACAGACACCACACTGCACTTCGAATGTATATGGACACGAGCAATTGCACGATAGTCTTACAACTTATTTATTGAGTATTTTTAAACGAGCAGTAACGAACACGTTTTATGCGTGCGCGGCCATCTTGCTTCTTCTTTTTCTTGACGATAGGTGGCGCACCATTTTGAGTAGTGCGTATATGGGGGAGGCGGGAGGATAGGAAATACTTAGGAAAAGGATATTATATCGGGACTGTTCCGAAGCCACAACAGTAACAGAACTGAAGTGGAGAAGAAAAGGAGGATATAGAATAACCGCTACCGTTACAGCCTATTAAAGTCCACTACTAAACATAGGCCTCACCTATAGATTGACTGATTGGCACCATATTTGCCATAGTTGCCACGCTTGGCAAGCGTGTTGGCAAAAATGCTGCTGCTCATCTCCTGATTTGGTTCTCTCTGTCGCCTCTTACGACACCTACGAGATGATGTGAGGTAATGCATATTCTTTCACCACCACTACACGGTTGCAATTACATACAACTACACTAATATAATCTTTCATGGTAGAGTGACACTGCAGTGTATCTGATTACAGTATAAGCCGACCTTTATCGAGGAGGGGCCACGCTGAATTAGCAGCATACTGCTTCTGTATTACGTATGGTGAGGGATAAGAAAAGGCGAGCATTTCTAATGACAACGGTGAAAGTTGTCAATTTGGTTGGAATATTTGTCACAGCAGTCACTTCTTTTAAGTGACTGCTGTGACACGGGGGACTTTGTCCTCTTTAGTCAATCTTATATTTAAATATTTGAGCCATTATTTTTGTGGATTGAAAACATTTAACATAATCACATATTATTATTTTTATAGGATAAGAGTGACAAGCGAG